CCAAGAATCATAATAAAAATCACATTTAAGATTCAAATGTTAGTTACAATTAAAACAGGTAAAGGATTTTTTTTTTTTTCCAAAAAAAGGTTCTATATATTTTTTTCTATATTCTTACTAGTAGCATTACAAACCAAGAAACACTACAGAAAATGTTTGTTTGTTTTCTACAGTTATTTCCTGTGCAAGCAATAGACTTCTGGAAAGAATCTGATCTGCCAGAATTGCTCAGAACTTTCACATACAAGTTCAGAAAGGTGGACGGAATAAAGAATAGCTTTCCTTTTAAAACAGGAAAACAATTTGTAACCTCCTTCCACTCTAAACCAAAACAAAACAAAGAACTGTGCAGAGTCTTCCATATCTAATGTAGTATGAAATGCAACATTTACTGAATATTTCTAAAGGACAGCATTCCTTTGAAAAGCTGTGACTAAAAATAATTCATTTGACAGTCCAGATGAGATATGTTTATGTCCCTACCTACTTCTAAATCCTGTGCTAAACAAAACTGGGAGGTTTTTGCAGCTGTAGTCATGCAGGACACTCAAATAATGTCAAATGTAAATAAATGAGCAATTTACTTTATATTTACAGTAAAAACCACTATGCATACTCAATAATGTATTCAGCATGTTACTTAACTCACTGCATCAGGATTTGCATATTCTTGTGCTACTTTTTAATGCTTCAGTCCAGCAATTAGCATACTGAATCTTATTAAATATATCAAAAGATGTCTTTTTAGTTAGCACAGTGAAAAGAAAAATATACACCTGCAAAACATTTTTTTAAACACTAATAATTTAAGAAACATTAAGTACCATAGGAACCATTACCATCTTAATACACTAGACGTAACAGAACCCATTAAGAGAAACACCTACAGTGGCACCATCCAACCAATTTGATTTGCAGAGGTCCTGTAAATTTTTCCCTGAAGGGAAGATCCCTATAAGGCTAACTGGAATCCAGTGAGGATAAGTTTGGGGGTTTTTTTCTAATTATCTTTCACAGATCCCCTTGAAAATCTCTCCTCAGGATGGACCAGAAGCTGAAAGCCAGTGTCTCCGTGGTATTATAAAAGAAATATTCAGCCTGGCATGCTTCACAGCCTACTAGTCACGCTGGGTGAAACCCTGACCTTGCTGAAGTGACCAGATATTTTTCATTTAATCCTTAATTTATCACAGAAATAATAAGAGTCATAAAAGGAATGTGCTCAATTACTTTTCTAACACTGTATCCCAGTGCAGCCAAGGAAAGTCAAGTTAGGTCAAAATCAGAGACTTTTAAATTTCACTCTAATTTCTGCACAGCATTGCATTTATACATGCAGGGGAGGGGAAGGCATTTTAGGCCACCACATTTCTGCTCCCTGGCTGCTAATGTCACATCTTCCTGCCCTCTAACCTTTCTGCCAGACTTAAGAAAGAAACCAAATGAACACCAGCCTCTGCCAGTTTCTTCTCCCAGACCAAGGGAAATGCTCCAAAGCCAAACTGAACCACATGTCTCTGTGGTCACTCACATCTGCTCTGTCCACTACCTACCCCCACAGAGACACCTCCATCCCACAGTCAGAGATCCAAGGTGTTCCTATGACACGCGAAACACGTCATAGCTGCACAACTGCTGCATGACACACATTTCCCCTTCTTGCTGCATCAAAGTTGCTTCTGCCTTTGGTAAGCATCCATTTAAATTTTCAGTTTTACAATGCTGAGCCTTATGTAAATGAGATTCAGGACTGTAAATGCAATGCTGAAGTTAAAAAAAAAAAAAAAACTATCAGAAAATGCAATACTTTCACCTCTATGCCAAAGAATAAATGGAATATGCTTATTTTAATCCCTGCAGCTCTCCTTAGAAATGACAAAAAAAATGAAGTTGTTAATTAAAATAAGATGGCAGATGCTTCCTAGTTGCAAACTCTGAAAACCAACCTTGAAGCAATTCTACAAACACAAGCATGGCTCGTGCTACAAAGCATTTCATTCTCAATTATTTTTCAATGCAATGAGTCATGCAAGTCCACCACTGCACTATGTGTGTCAGTAATTCAGTCCTGGGGATTCTTCATTCTTATTTGCTCTGATATGCTACAGGCGCGCTATTACAGTCAAAAAAGCAGCTGTGTACCAAAAGAAGGTTTCAGTGAATCTCTTCAGCAATCATAAAAACATAGCAAAAATACATCATTAGCATCCACTTTCGTGACCCACTTAAAAATAGTCTCACATTCTTGCCAAAAGAACAGCGCTGCCACATTACCTTTTCCAGATTTTCACCCTAAAACTGAAATACAATGCACAGCTCTGCCCACAGCATATTGCTAATTATACCTCAAATGGAAAGCATTCAGCTTCTGTATTTTCACCTCTTCCACTCTCTTCATTACAGCATTTCACACTTTATAACTGAATGCATACTAATATTAAAGCAGCAACTATGTCAGAAAAGCAATAAACTTGACTTGTCAGCCCAGCTTTATCCCAGAGAAAAAAAGGTAGATGTTTAAATCACCATTTCTGGGAACAAGACAACGTGCTCCTAGAACTGGACAGTGAAATACACAGGCTCTTAAAAGTTTTAAGTCAATCACATCCCGTTGGGCACATAAAACGCAGCTTTAATCAGACACATATACCAGGGTATGCTTGCAGAATTAGCATTTTCCATTGTATAACACAGTACACAGAAGAGACAAGGTGGTTGTTGGCTTGCTTTTAACATGAGAATGGGAAAACAAAACATTTACTACTTCTTACAGAAATATTAGCAAAAAGCAGTGCTGCTCAACATTTTCTTTCTTTTAAAGAATCTTTCAACAGACAGATTTGGGAAGAAAGGTGTTTTCTAAGAAAAAAACCTTGGTTTTCATTCAACTATATAACTTTAACAACTATATAACTTTAACAACAATAAATCCTGTATTAGTTTCATTCCTACCAAAATCAGTAGGGTTCTCCTATAAAAGGATTACATTCAGTAAGCCTGGTGAGGAGTGTTGTATAACACACAGTATTGTAAGGATGAACATTCATCTACACCAATGCTCAAAAAAATATGCCAGCAGGAAAATCCGATAGCAGCCACAGGCTCATCATGTAAAGCCAGTTGCACTAAAGCCACTTTTCTTCCTTCAGTATGACACATTTCTGACCCCACTATACCAATCTTATAGTGCCATAGAGACATGAATTGGCAGTCTCTGTTCTGGTCATTCACACATTTTCTGCTATCAGGAGGATTATTTACAGAAACACAACTCTTTATTAACGACAAGCTTGACCCATCACATTTTAAGTACCCAAACGAAAAAAAAAAAATTCAGACGGAACATTTTCCTCTCATTTGAGAGTCTCTCTTGTGCCAATCACTGTTAGGTGAAAGGATGCGCAAATAGCACGGCTCAATCCACACAGCAACGATGCAGTGACCCAGAAAGAGAATCTAACGGCCAACTGAGTACACGAAGCAAAACTAGCCAAAACCAAAGGGCAGCATGCACATCAGCATCTTCTCTGCTTCACTGGCACATACGTAAACCTAGTCTCATATTTCCACATTACGCAACAAGACTTCACATTCCCATAAACAGCACTTCCTCCACTGCTTCCAAGACACATATTCTGCAAAAGGAGAAAGATAGGTGCCCAGGTTCACAGAAAAGTTAGAGAAGAAAATATGGAGAAATAAAAAGTGATCATTGTATCACACATTTAAAAAATAAAATGCAATTTGAAATTGAAAATTATACCAACAACTAGAGATGGCTCAAAACAAAACGCTGGGTTTAAACATCATTCTTCCCTTTGGGAAAAGGTGGCTGTAATTTTTTTAATGAACCTGATACAAATTATACATGAATTTGTCTCTCATCTATGAATATAAAAGCCTATATAATTTACAATACACCCACGCACCTGCATATAGACAACGCAAAAACTGTGGAAGCAATTATTTAAGACTAAATATTTATCCCCTGCTCCCTTTTTTCCTCAAAAAGAGGATTGTTATTAATGGTAACACAAGAACCAAACCCACCCACCTCTAAATCTTCGGTGTGGCTTATGTCAAAAGAGCAACATACATTAGAGTCCTAGGAATAATAAACACAAGAAAAACCACATTGTATCTTTGGTTTTTTTTCAGTACATACAATGTTATTCCACCCACTAACCTAAGAGCAAAGCTTTGATTTGGACAGATTCTTTTGAAAGAGCACATCCAAACACAGCCTGACTGAAAAGCAGAAACAAAGTCAGTCCTCATACCTGTCCTCATACCCTGTATACTACTGGGCATCACCTGCACCTTCCATGAAGCATTATGCAGAGAAAGAGAGAGGTGCCAGGAAGCTGGTAAAGCACAGCTGAAATGTCAGCTTTTACCAACAGATTTATCCCTTTCAGAAAAAATAAATGGGAAAGTTTTTGTTTCATTGTAGTTAGGACAATGCCTTGCACTCTGAAGTTAGCATTTTACTGCAGGGCATCTTAACATTTTTCTGAGAAGTCCCACTTGCTCCTTTTTCTAACAAAATTAAAAGTTTTTCTAGAGATGACAGCTATCGCCTGCCACAGGCCATTCCAGTCTGCAGCTTCTGAAAAACTGGCAGACTTCAGCTGAGCTCCTCTCCCACTCCCTTGCCTTGCCATTAGTCTTCCAAGCCAGACTTTAATACTGTGAAAAGCAGTCAACCATCACAACTTTTAACTCCCTTAACACACATTTATTGAATTTGCCTGGAAACTGGGAGGTGCTGGGGAATGCAGGAGAAAACAGGCCAAACCAAAACCAGACCCATTTCCAAAAGAACCACTCCACCATCAACCTCATCTGCTTGAATTTACTAGAAAGACACCAATAGATCCCAAACACATTTGGGATGCCTCGCCTTTGTATCGTCCTGTCAAATTTCAAGCAGAAATACTACAAACAAAAAAAAAAAATCGCTCTAATTTCCTTTAAAGTGTAACACACATTTTGCTTACCTCGCTGTTGTGGCCCCTCAAATTGAAGTTGATTCTCTGAGGGGTGTTCCGGTCCCTCCTGCAATGGCTGGAAGTAAAAGTGACGCCTACAACTCCTCTGCCATTGCCTGTTGCCAACCAGCCTTCCTCATAGTACCGCCTCCTGCACACCGGTTTCTCCTTCTCACTTTTGGGGACTCTCCCTTTCCAGGAGAGGCAGAGGATGTTGGAATCGCTGCAAAGAACAGGCCCATGTTCCACTGCTGCATACATGCTTTTTAAATATTTTATTTTTTGACATAAGAAAGTAATATGTCTAGTGCACAAAATTTAAATCAATTTTTTTTTTTTTTTATTGATAAGACTGACCTGGGATAGATCATTGAAAGGGAGGAGGATGGGGTCAGTGTTTATAAATATCCACCAAATGCATAGTGAAAAATTCCTCTATAAAAGATGATGGCAGTTGGCTAAGAAAAAGTAACACTTAAAAAAAAATTCAGGTTCATTTTTGTTTTTGAGTCTGTAGAGTGAGGGTGCACTTATCCTTTGGAGAAACAGCTACTTCGTAAGAGGCGCTCAAGAAATGGTTAAGTCATCTTTTTGCTCAACTTGATATAATCTTTATACAGCCTGAGATTCCAGTTTAGCGTAATGCAATTCCAGAGACAAAGAGTTGCAAATGTGTAGGTTTCAAGTAACTTAAGGCTTTTAAGATTTCCTCCAGTCAGATTTTCTTCAAAAGTTCAGTTGCAGAAATTTAAACACACGCACATACATATATATGTATATATATGACATTCATCTTTTCCAAGCTGCCCTCTGGCATATCTTTTCCATCTGATGTATTTCTGCTGCTAAAGCTGAAAGAGATTGCATAAAGGGAAAAAAAGGCACACAAACCGTGCGAAACAACAGACCCGAACTCGTGCAGGCACTGGTGTGCCAGGCCAGCTGGGAAATCCCTCTTGGTACTGAACC